AATGGAAGAAAATACCGAGGCTTGTGAAAATAATCACTGACACTAAAAGATCCACTTATGTTAAAATAAAAGGAAGTACTTTAAGTCTTCTGAGGGTAATTATTGGCAGCTAAAACTCCTTCAGACATGCTTCATGTTTGATACATGGGTTATTTTTTACGTATTCAATATCTATGATGAAATTATTAATCATCAGGAGCAGTGGGTTTTGGGTAATTAGGTACCTTAAATTTCAAGCTGTTTGATTCTTCAAATGTTCAATGACTTATTATGAGCTCAAGGAAGGTGATTTGCTGTTAATTTTGTTGGCTGGTAGTTAGACTTTATTCATGGTTGAGACACCAATAGGTTTTCTATTTTCTGTTTTCAGAGTCATATTAACAGGGTGGTGTGCATAATTTACACACAAACTAAATTCCTCTATGTGAAAATGAGCTGGCCATGTGAAAAATAGAGGCTGCCAACCGACAAGCCATCCACTGAAAGTGAAGGAACAGCTGGCCATGTGCAAGGCCAGCCAAACTCTCCACCGTTCTCTTTAGTGTATAAATGGAGAGGCCAAGGGGAGAGTTTAGAGAGTAGAGAGCAATACAAGAAAGGAAGAATAAGTGATATACAAGAGAGTGTATATCAGAGTGTATATCTCTGTGAGAGAGAGAGAGAGAGGAAAAACCAAAGAGTGTATGGCAATAGAAACTGTATGAGTTGAGTGAGAGAGTCTCCTCCTCTGTGTAATCTCTATTTGTTTTAGTGGAAATTTCTGGTTCTCTCCGTAGACGTAGGCATTGAGGCCGAACTACGTAAATCTTGTGTTCATTATTAGGTGTGTGATATCTAGTAGTTCAGGTGGGTTGTCTTAAAACCCCAACAATTGGTATCAGAGCCTCATCGGTTGTTTTTCAGAAAAAATAGGGTGTGTTTTTTCAAAACTGCCCAGAAATGAAGTTGCTTGAAATCAAATTTTGAGCATACTAGGAGCAAGGTCTTATTGAGAGGAGTCCAGAACTGCAAAGCAGAGGCCCAAAAGAGGTCTCATGTGCCCTTACGCGCCTTTTGAAGATAGCACATAAGGCCCACTCTCTGCCACGCGCCTCATGTGCGGCGGAAGGAAGAACACATCATTGCCACGTATCAGACACGTCAGCGCCATGTCAGTGACACGTGTCTGACACGTCAGCGCCACTTCAGCACATTGGAGTTATTGAGTGCTACGCAGCGATGGTACAGCCGCAGATTTGGGGCATCCAAATTATTTTGACTTGATTTAAGCCATTCTGAGTTCGTTTATGATGATCTAATAGTGCTTTCCAACTATTTAGAGTATTCTGGACATATCCGTATGGTCAGATTTTTTGAATCAGAGTGTCTGTAAAAAAGAAAAAAAGATCAAAATGTCAAGAAAAGGTGCAAGTTTCATGATAGAGCCTTTTAATGGTAATAATAACTTTACTCTGTGGCGGCAAAGAGTAAAAAATATTTTAATGTGGGAGGACTTGGAGAAAGCTTTCAACAAAAAGTCCAACAAACCGGAAGACATGTGAGATGACAAGTGGAAGGAGTTGAGAGAATTGGCAAATATCATGATCCAATTATATCTCGAGAACAACACACACCGGGAAGTCATCAATGAAGAAGATTCGGCAAAGCTATGGGCAAATTTAGAATTTGACAAATTGGTTATCTTAGAAGAAGCAGCTACACACACTTCAAATGCCAGAAGGAGCGAACCTTACAAAACATCTAGACGAGTTCAACAAGCTCACAATGGAGTTGGATACTATTGGGGTGAAGATCGAGGAGGAAGATAAGGCTATTATCTTGCTGGTCTCCTTACCTTTATCATATGAGCATCTCAGGACTACTCTATTGTACGGGAATGATACTCTTAGACTGGATGAGGTGGTTGCTACGCTTATTTCTCATAAGGTGATGAACAAAAAGGAAAGTAGCAAGCAACTAGAAGGAAATGCCATGGTTGCATTAGAAAATGATCAAGGCAAAGGCAGGTCCAATGATAGATGGGGTAGATACAAATCAAGAGGACGTTCGCAATCAAGGCCAGGTTACAAGAGAAAGTGCTATTACAGTGATCAGGAGGATCACCTCATCAAAGACTGTGCAAAGCTCAAAGAGGACAAGGCAAACAAGGAACAGACGAGCTCATCAAATGTCGTTGCTTTAGTGAATGCTGAGGATGAGTATGCATTCATAGTTTCATTGAGTATGATGAAACCTGATTGGATTTTAGATTCCGGAAGTACATACCATATATGCATGGACAAGAAACTTTTTTCCACTTACCAAGCAAAGGACGAAGGTATTGTTCGTGTGGCTAACAACACTACGAGTAAGATTGTTGGCATGGGAACAGTACGACTTTGAATGAAAGATGGGAAAATTTTCATGTTGGATGGAGTCTGACACGTGCCGAGACTGAAGAAGAATCTAATTTCCTTAAGTATGCTAGACTTGAAGGGTTACAACTTCTCATCTAGTAAAGGAAATCTCAAAGTTATCCATGGAGATACGGTGATGCTGCATGGACAACTAGAGGGGAATCTGTATAGATTTGCTGAAGAGGTTGTGACAGAAAGAACAATTGTCACTTACTGGGAAAGAAGTACAAGACACACACCGAAAAGACATAGGGCTCAGCAGACATGGCAACCAAAGTGTACAAGAACGCATGGAGGCAGTTCAATGGTGCACAAAACGGAGCCATTGTAGCCAATTTTGAAGAAAGCTCAAAGCAAAGAGACCAAGATAGCAAAGCACGTCCTAGGGAGAAAAAGAGTTCTTTTGCTCCTGAATTAGAAACATATTGCGATCTCTCTAAGACTGCATGGAAGAGAGAGATGCAATCACAAAGAGTTGCAAAGTAAGCTTTGCATAGCACCCCAGTGAGGAGGTGCAGGGCACTCTAGGTAGGGGGTGCTATTGTGGATCACCTCACATGGGTTGAGGGGGTGATTTGTTGGATATCACCCCATGTGAGGGGTGATCATTTTCTCTATGTGAAAATGAGCTGGCCATGTGAAGAATGAAGGTTGCCAACCGACAAACCAGCCAACGAAAGTGAAGGAATAGCTGGCCATGTGCAAGGCCAGCCAAGCTCTCCGTCATTCTCTTCAGTATATAAATGGAGAGGCTAAGGCGGGAGTTTAGAGAGTAGAGAGAAATACAATAAAGGAAGAATAAGTGATATACTAGAGAGTGTATATCAGAGTGTATATCTCTGTGAGAGTAAGAGGAAAAACCAGAGAGTGTAGAGAGTGTGTGAATTGAGTGAGAGAGTCTCCTCCTCTGTGTAATCTCTATTTGTTTTATTGGAAGTTTCTAGTTCTCTCCGTGGACGTAGGCATTGAGGCTGAACCACGTAAATTTTGTGTTCATTATTGGGTGTGATTTTTGGTAGTTTAGGTGGGTTGCCCTAAAACCCCAACACCAAAATCCACTCCGGATGAAGAATTTAGAAATAATAGACTTAAAGAGACAATGTATAATTTGATTAATGAATTTTTAGAACTCATGGTAAGCACTATAATGCATAACCTGTGCAAGAAAACTAGTGAGAGTTCATAGACTTTGGATATAAAACCTGTCCCTGCATCCATAACAATTGCCCCATAGATTTCCTGAAGAATCTACGTAGCTAATGTACAAACTATCTTCCTTTCTTTTTCTGCATGCTGGTGGAGTCTCGAATACATTACAACACATGTTTATTGACTCCCTACTTGAGTATTCTTTCAGAAATAAATGACAATTGTAATCAAAGGTAGTTTAGCTTGGAAAATTAACCACACTTGCTAAGATAAAATTTCCAAGCCTATGAGAATCCATACTTGACAAAGAAGGTGCTTCTTCAAATGGAGAGGAGCATGGTTACCCATAATGACTCATGGTTTGACTATTAAAAGCTATGTTTACTTCGTAAGAGATGAAGAAAATAAATTAAGAGAAAATTTTCTATAGCAAAAAATTAAAGAAAAGAAATATGTTTTGCCCAACTTTACCTCTATTCTATCGATGACCTGGAACTATAGATTGAGATCCACTGAGTAGCTGGAGTACCGAATTGAACTTTTTTGCGAGGCTTCGCACCATCTTCTAAATCCACAAGTAAGCTCTCCCTTTTCTGACCCACCTATAATACATGGCATGTTTAACAACAAATATTTAGAAACAACAACACACAAACTTTAGACGATTGCTCAATTGACATAAATCTACAACCAACAACCTTCAAGGCTCCATCTATCTTGATGGATCGCAATGACACACTGGAATTTATGTTGTCTTGAGTGAAATAAGCTTTGAGTAATTGGGTTCTTCATCAAAATTCATATTGGTCACCATCTCAAGAAATTGTTGAAAAGGGGGAGGACATAAGGAACAAAGCATTTCAGGGGGAATACCCATCTTCTTTTTACAAACAAGGAATCCTTTATTCTCACCCTACAACCCAAGAATATACTATAGTTTGTAGTCAAAGCAAAAAATAAGAAGTCTGAGAGATAAAAGCATATGGCAGTGCACAGTAAAACCAGAAATGAACTTACAATGAAACCTTGCCATTGAAGCTTCTCTAAGGAGTAATGTTAAAGTATAAGCTAGGAACTCAAGGTCATTTCTTCTACTTCCTATCCTATCCAAATGAGCATGTACACTCACATAATGTACTATTCCCCTCTCAACATATAGATTAGGGAAATAAGTACATGTCATTTATGATTGTATCAAATCACTTTCCTCGCTAAAAGGCAAAGTAAAACTTAACGAGAAACCCAAGGGGGTGTGGCACTTTGGTAAGACTTTGGAACATAAGCCAGGTTCCACTATCTCCGGGGCCAGCCACTAGGGCGACAACACATATGGTTAGTAGAACAAACCTTCTAGGCCTGGGTAAATCATACCCAGTGTCAGTAATGTGGGTTTGAATCCCTGCCTATGTGCGAGTTCATGACTTACCGCTACATGATTATGTAGTCCTGCTATGTAGCAACCACCTGAGGTGACCTCTGGGGTCTCCGCTCCTTATAGGGTCTAATCCCAGAGGTTACCTCTCTGTGGTTAGGCTTTTTTTTTAAGCTTAACAAGAAACTTATGAGGCAAGTTATGCATGCCAATTCTATAAAACTAACTCCCCAAAAAAGCCACCCAAAAATTAAGATAAATAGAACTGAGAAATATTTCTTCCATTTTGGAGACTTACTTAAATGGAAGAAAATACCGAGCCTTGTGAAAATAATCACTGACACTAAAAGATCCACTTATGTTAAAATAAAAGGAAGTACTTTAAGTCTTCTGAGGGTAATTATTGGCAGCTAAAACTCCTTCAGACATGCTTCATGTTTGATACATGGGTTATTTTTTACGTATTCAATATGTATGATGAAATTATTAATCATCAGGAGCAGTGGGTTTTGGGTAATTAGGTACCTTAAATTTCAAGCTGTTTGTTCTTCAAATGTTCAATGACTTATTATGAGCTCAAGGAAGGTGATTTGCTGTTAATTTTGTTGGCTGGTAGTTAGACTTTATTCATGGTTGAGACACCAATAGGTTTTCTATTTTCTGTTTTCAGAGTCATATTAACAGGGTGGTGTGCATAATTTACACACAAACTAAATTAAAGAAAAAATTCGCTCCATGAATTATTCACAACCACGGAATTCATTCGAGCATATTGTCGAGCACATGGTGGGCAGAACGCTTGACATTGCGACAGAACAGAACCGAACTCCAAACAGAGAAATTAAGCATAATTGCATAATTGACAATAGGAGGAAGATGACATACCTGAGTTTCTGGAAGTTGTTGCACATGGTAGAACATGCACCAGATAGAGCATGTATGGACATACATATAATGAGCTATTACCGTTTGAGGAAGACAACAAACCACACTGTCTCACCTCCTTGGAACTCACAGGTCAAGCATAACAGTCATAAGAAGAAACTTCTAGCTCTTCAAGGTGCAAGTGTTTTGTTTTGTTTAGTTTTTTTTTTTTGTTCCTATGTTGACACTTCAACCAGCTAATATATTATATATATATATATATATATATATATGCTGGGCATGGTAGGAAACATGGCAAATAAGAGAATTTGATGTGTTAGATTCAAAGTGACCTGCTTACTTTCATTCTTTTATATATAGGTTATAGATAAGGATATATTGATTAGGCACACCAACTATTCGACAATATGCCTGAATATACACACTAAAATATTAGAGGACTTCCCTAATTGAAAACTTACTAACATAATCATATATATATATATATATTCAAGCTTGCAATAAAACCCCATCTATGCTCAACAATGCAAAATAAATGCAATCAATGAGAGCCATTGTTGTGAGCAACAAATGAGCATAACCTGTGTACTCACAAAACAACCCATCAAAAATGGGTGAATACTCATAAAAGTTAGAGAACTTATATTCATAAACTATACTAATGATGCTAAAGACTTCTATCTCCACTAACAAAATTGATGGATTTCTAGCTTTAAAGACATTACATTAAAATTCAAAAACAAGCATTGAAAACTTAAGTATTTTTAGATGCAAAAGTATTTCATTGTGATTCTTTATTTCATGGAGTTACTTTTTGGTTTCCTTCAACTTGATTTGGGTTATAAACCACAGGCAGAAATGGTGTCCCTCCCAATTGTGTTATTCAGTTTGAAGTGGATCTCATCTCAAGGATCCTAGATGTTGGCAAGGATGGTGGAATTTTGGGAGATTTTATTTACCCCCCCCCCCCCCCCCCCCCCCAAAAAAAAAAAAAAATCATTAAGTACTCTCTATTTCTAAATACAACATTTTCAATTATTTAAAATTTTATATTACTCTGAGTACACCCTATAATTTTTTCTAATGTACCCTTAATAAACCCAAATAATAAATAATAATCAAATTAAAAAAGAAAGTATTTGAAAAACTTTTTAAATTGATGCACAGGAGGTACCAGCGAAGGACTCCATAATCAGAGTCACCATTGGCAAGCTTCATCTCCTTGCCTCTGCTGTGTATCATTATAGGTAAATACTTTTTTAGATTCTTGTAACTAAGGAAAAGAAGAAAAAGTATATATTGTTCTTCTATTTTTTTTGTTGTGTGCATGTTAACATTAGAGAGTGTGCATATAATAAATGTCCCTGTTCCTTGCCTCTGTTTTTTTATTTTTTATTTTATCTCTTTCTTCTCTTGCTATTTTGCTATAACAATTTGTTGATTATTATGTGTTTGACAATTCTATTGCTGGTTTGCTATTCTCATTTGTTGATTATTATATGTTTGACAAAATGCTTGAATGGGAAAACACTTCCCTACCTTGCTTGGCTTACCTCTTTTATTGAATTTGTTTCTATATTTTTTCACAATTTAAGTGTATGTGCATAAAAGAAAAGCAAATATATATATATATATATATTTAAAATATTAAAAAAATTCACTAAAAAAACGGAAAACAAAAAGTCCAATTTTCAGAAAAATAGTTTAAACTAGACTGATGGTGTAATGAGTTTTCTTTTATATTGCTATGTATGAGTTTTCTTTGATATTTCTACTTTTCTGAATTTGTTATTTCACTGTTAGAAGTTTGAAACTCTTCCATTTCTTGCCTTGGCTAGATTACAGAGAATAGCTATGTCTGCCATGGTATACTGCTAAGGACAACTCAAATTAGGAAAATTTGTAACTTGAAGTGAGAAAAACTTGGGAATAAAATTGGATTGTACACATCTTTACTTTCTATTGACATTGTTTTGAATCTTATTCTTCTCTATTACCTATATATTTTTCTCTTTTTCTTTTCTCTGCTTTCATTCTTGAAAGTTGTTTTGATATCATAGAATACCTTCAGGAAAAGGCATCATGTATTTCAAGTTATGAAAAGAAGTATTGATGGAGAGTAAGTATCTCAAATCTCAATTGCCAAATACATTGGTATATAGGAGTTAGAGTGATGGTTACTTGGTTCGATAATTATTGTTTGATATACACTTATCTGCAATCAGATGTTTGTTGGCCGTGACTAGGTACATGAAGTCTGTAAAAAACATTTGAGGATTACTTTTGTGTTCTCAAAGTGGCCCAATCAAGCAAGACCCGTTTCTGCTAGTTGGGTGGCCTGTCCCCCCTTACATTTAGCTGAGCTTTTATCCTCTGATGTCAATGTCTATGTTCCTTGATAAATAAATATTTTACTTATTCAAATAAAAAATAAATAAAAAAAAGTGGCCCAAGTCTTTTTTATTCAAGTATTAAGAACTGAAAATAGTGTAATTCCACCGATTCAATTGAAAAGAATATATCATTGCATTGCAAAGAATTTTATGTAGTTGATTTATTTTACTTACTGTTTTCCTGGTTTTTTTTATTTTTTATTTTTGTGCACATAAGTTGTTTTATGTGAATAAGCCTTGACTCTTTTTTTTTTTCTTGTAAATTATATATATGATATATCAATTGTTAATTATTATAAAGTTAAAGACCTTTAACTTGTTCCTGATTCATCTAGAACTGATTTTAGTCCTCAATCTGTCTTTACTGCTATGGCAAGTGGTTCAACTCTATACACTGGGCCAATTTCCCTGACTTTGATATTCTGAATATTTTAGTCCCACTTTAGGGTGTGTTTTCTACTTTATTCCCAATATAGGGTGAAACGGTTTTGCTAAACGCGTTTTCTTTAAAATGGCTTTGCCAATGCTGTTTTTGATGAATAAAAAAATAATAAATTTTTCCTTCATAAAAACGGTTTTTCTAAAGCCGTTTTTACTTAAGGTGTAATTAATTTTGAGTTTATATAAAACGGTTTTTTTAAAACCGTTTTTATTTTTATTTTTTCCCCAATTTTTCAACATATAAATTGCCACAAATAATGTAATTCAGAAAACGGGTTTACTAAAACCGTTTTCTAATATGGCTTTCCTAAAGCCGTTTTCATGTAATTTTTTTTTCTTTTTTTTCTTTTTTTTGTTGTCATTGTTTTGGTGATAATGTAATTCAAAAAACGGGTTTACTAAAACCGTTTTCTAATATGGCTTTCCTAAAGCTGTTTTAATGTAAATTTTTTTTATTTTTTTATTTTTTCTGTTGTCTTTGTTTTGGTGATAATGTAATTCAGAAAACGGGTTTACGAAAACCGTTTTCTAATACGGCTTTAGTAAAGCCGTTTTCATGTAAATATATATATACATATATTTTTTTGTTTGTCTTTGTTTTGGATTAGAAGGTGATAATGTAATTTAGAAATTTTTTTGGCTTTACTAAAGTCGTTTTCATGTAAATTTTTTTTTTCTTTTGTCTTTGTTTTGGGTTAGACGGTGATAATGTAATTTAGAAATTTTTTTTGGCTTTACTAAAGCCATTTTCATGTAAATTTTGTTTTTTTTCTTTCGTCTTTGTTTTGGGTTAGAAGGCGTAATTCAGAATTTTTTTTTGGCTTTACTAAGGCCGTTTTCATTTAATTTTTTTTCTTTTGTCTTTGTTTTGGGTTAGAAGGTGATAATGTAATTAAGAAAACCAGTTTAGTAAAACCGTTTTATAGCCATTTTCATTAATTTTTTTTTCTTTTCGTCTTTGTTTTGGGTTAGAAGGTGATATACATGCTCTACAGTTTGAAGCACACCCACACACTCTGCACTTCGACAAACAACGACGAAGGGTGAGACGCGAAGAGCACTGCGGAGGAGGCCAAGAAGATGAAGGCCATCGCGAGAGCTGCAGCAAGAAGGAAGAAGAGAAAGACCTCAAATTTTGGTAATGTATTTTTTACATACGAATGGTACTTTTTCTTTTTTTTGCTATGTAAAGTAACTTGTATGTAATTTGGTGTCTGATTACGAATAGGAACTTATGTAATGTAAATATTGGGTTGGAGTTGATGTTATTGTGATTCAATTGGTTTCGCTTATTTCATAAGACTGATGTTGCGCAATGAATGAATGAATGGAAATGTTATTTGTTTTATTCAATTGGTAGTGTATTTTTTTGTAAGAATGAGAATGTTATTTGTTATATTCAATGAATAATGGTTACATTTTTGGGTTGTCATGATTGAGAAGATGAACAAGTCAAGAGAATGTGCATTTCCCCTAAAATAAAATTCGTCAACATTTTTTGTAATAAAACTTAATACATAATATACGAAGTCACTAATTTACTAAATACTCGTACGGGCATGAAAACAACATAACTGAAGTTGCAAATATAACAGTTTTCAGTTACATAGGTAGTACTAACATAAGTCTCCCACAAAAATATATTCTGGACACCATGAACTGAACACACAATACATAAATCCTGGACACCCTGAATTGAACACACAATACATAAACATAACAGTTAGATAGACAAACATTAGGCAGAAAATCTGACAAACTCATTACGGAAAAACTTAGTCAAACACACACATTACATATTAATGCATAACCTAATATTGCCGAAGTATAGACATAAACACCTAATTCGCGCTTGAATCGGCAATCTCAGAGTCTGAATAATCCGAAAGCGCAGGGTCAGAGACAAGTTCAGGATCCTCCATGATACCCTTGATAGTCGCAACATTTGGTTCTGTTCTGTTCTTTTGGGCATCCCTCTTAACTAAGCATAGTTGCATATCGCGGGCTAACCTACGGCGCATTTGAGAAATCTCACGTTGTAGTCTTTCACATAGTCGATCAACATTATCAGGATCTTCCTTTTGGATCTCAATAGAATGTGCTTTTGGCACCTTAAGTTGATTTTCCTGACTTAAGGTTTCCAGTTGTACCCGCTCTATAAATAGTGCGGGCCACTTGAGACGAGCAGCGTCAGACAAACCATATCCTGTTTGATTGTCAGATGGCTCCATACATGAACCTCCTTGAACTCGATAATACTTGGGCATCAAAAAATGTTGCTTCCCAAACCTATCACGATAACCGCAAGCATAATCTAAAACAGGTATTGTTGTTTCGTCTTCAGCATTGCCACGTCCCCTTCCCTCTCCTCGTCGTGAATTGTCACCCCTTTGCAAGTTCCTACCACCTCTGCGATTCACACTCCCTCCCATGAATCGTGTATCCATGCTAATTTTTTTAAACAAATGAATGACAATTTCGTAGGTCGAAATGAGTTGTAAGGTTGTGTCTTCACCTTTAGTCGTTTATATAGTTGGTTATGAATGGCTTTAGAAAGACACTAAACGAAAAACCATAGAAAATAAATGTCTCTGCATGACAATCCCACATATACGAACAAGGTATGAGTTGTCACTAGAATGAAAAAATAGAGAAAAACAAATACTGTGTACCAAGTCACATGATTTGACAATCCATCTGCATATACTGACAATCCATCTGCATATACGACCACCATCATGGCACAATGTCGAATGAATAGGGTTCATCCGACTAAACCGCCGTTCAACATTCTTCTCGAGCTTGTAGATATCGTCCAGAATCTTGTTAAACTTCTGCACTTGCCGTGCAAAACCATCTCTCCACACAAGATCCTTCGCTACTGTATTGCCGAATCTGTCATTGAAATTGCTACATATGTGTCGCAAGCAATACCTATGGTACCCTCTTGGTTGAACTGCTAGATTGTCCCAAATTCTTGACACGACACTAAGCAAAGCTATGTGTCGATCAGATATCAATGTCACCTCCTCTCGGTCACGGCACACATGTTGCCTAAGCAGAGTAATGAACCAACCCAAACTCTGGATCATCTCCTTGTCAACAACGGCAAAGGCAAGAGGTACAATCTTG